TTATAATACACTTTTATGGATTAATAAGTTTTTGATTTAAGGTATATAATTATTTGTTCCTAAATCTTAAACTCTAAATCCAAAATTTTTAACTCTAATCCCTAAACCCTAAACTTCTAACCCTAAACTTTTAACTTCTAATACTTAATCATAAACATTGAATTTGTATAACTTATTAAAAATCAACCTCTAATATACCATAAAAACACCAACACTTACAAAAATTTAAAGTATAATCATTTTATAAATTCTAAATCTAAAATATAAATAGAAAAGATCTGATTGGCTAATCTAAAGTGGTGAGGATCAACCCCTTTTTGATATCCACCGTTGATTAAGGTTAATCGAATGGACAAGAAACTTTTATTTTTTTTTCTCTATCTCTTCTTCTTTTCCCGTGAGCTGTCTTTGTCTCTAACCTAGTTTTCCATCTTTTCCATCAGAGTAGCGGCGGAGGAGGATTCGTGTTCGACAAGCTCTTCTTCATACCTATCGAATCCAATCCGAACAGATCGGAGAACGCTAGCAGAACTTTCGTTGTCTTCGTCGTCTTCTTCACCGGAGATGTTGATGACATTCTTCTGGTTATTCTGATAAGTTCCTTGGCTGCTTTGATAACGCGAAGATTATCCTCCATGAACCGGATCTCAAGGTGAGATTATTCAGTTACATAGCTTTTTTAAAGTCTGGTTTTAATGTAATACAGAGAAATCGATTGTCTCTTCTTCTCCATCTTTTTCGTTTTCCTCCTCGCCAGTTCTCAGATTTCCGCGAGAAATCACCAGTGTTTCTTCGGTTTTATTCTCCAATATTATTTTTTTTGAAAACATTAGTGGAGATTCCTTTAAATTTAAGTGAGCAAACATCTTTGATATCGAGAATTTCTAAAGTTTGAAGCTTGAACTGTTATGTTTGCGTCACTTTGACAGAATCATTTGGATGTTAACAGATTAATTCAGCTTAGTTTATGTTAATATATAAGGAGATGCCTTTCTCCACTCTATATCTTCAATCAGTAATCTAGTTTGTTCCAAGTAATCATCAAATTGATCGACTAATGATGTGGTTTTGTGCATACTTCAAATAGGTACTTGACATGGACAGGAATGACTAGTACGGTGGAGAGTCAACATCGCTTAATCTCAATCAGGTCAGTTTCTCCCTGATGTTTCTATTAAGATTTCTTTTCTTTTTTGTGTGTGGTAATTTTTATCATTAGCTTGCGTTATTGATGTTGCTTTTTGTTTTACAGCTGTGGAACAAGTTTAGGGGAGAAGAAAAGGCTCCTGCTCATTTAGGCTATAGCAGAGACTACAATGTTGACATGATGCCTAAGGTATGATATTAGTTCAGTCTCCAGCTAATGTTCTCTTTTCTAGCTTAATTTTACAAATACGAGTTACTAATACTGTTATCTCTCGATGTGGTGGACCAGTTTATGATGGCAAATGCAAAGCTTTTTTACTTTACAGGGAAAGAGGTTGGATTTTTGTCACAAACAGCTCGACAAAGTCAAGGAAACAATATGGCAAAAAAGTTTGAATTTCTTGGCCTGAATGTGTAAACGAGGTTTCTCACGCTCCTTTCGTTGAAGATCATGGAACCAGCAAGACAAAAGTTTCATAATTCACAAGCTTAGATGCAGAAATTGTATCAAATTATCTTTTAATTATGTATTTTTATTCTGTAATATGATATTTTGTATCTTGGTTTCATATAATATAATAAATTATGGAAATTTTTTTATAATACCAATTTAATTATATTTATAAATAATTAATAAAAAAATTATTTAAATATATTTTTGGATCATTATAAAATAATTTAATAATACAAAAATATATGCTATTGTTGTAAAACAATTGGTATAGATACAACCAAATCATAACAATTATTACACGCTATTATAAATAATAATAATAGCAGCGCAATAAACGATATTGTCGTTTAATTAACTATAGCATCCGTCAAGTCCGCTATCTAAAGTGTCTGACCTACGATGACGGGCGCTGTCAGAGCGTTTAAGGAAACGCTATGTTATGTGATAGATAGCGTTGAACAGCCGCTATTAATACCCACATTTCTTGTAGTGTAGTAAACCTCATCACTTTCTCTATAAAAGGTGTGAGCTCATGACAGTGGAAAAGGGAGAGAGTTTCTGCAGCAAAGCCCTGTCAAAATCATTTTCGATCAGCCACCATCAAACACCTCGAAGGAGAAGCCATTGCAGCCTCTAAAAGACAAATCGGACCAGTCTTGGCGCAGAAGAGAAAAGAACAGTCAAACAAAATTGGATCGACCTAAAGTTTGGTGAGAATGTTCCTGATCCTTAGATATAGCTATAGCCGAAAGCCGTTTATTATTTGGAGTTACGGTTTGAAATTTATGGGTGTTTTCCCTGAGTCATATCTGTGCAGATCCGATCCGCGAGCAGCCAACTTGCGATGCGTTTTTTTGGCGATCTAGGAAGTTCCAGAAGACGATCTACATACCGGCGTGAAGACCTTTAATCCATATTTCCATATCAATCTTCAGATATCTATTCCGAGCTGTCACCAGAAAGTTATGACTATTTTTCTGTCATGTATTAAATCTATCCGAATGTGAACTGAGTTTGCTAATCTTCTTCAAATCGCAAAGGTGAGGTAAAGTTTGTGGAATTCTAAGATATATTAGTTGATTTAGTAATGTGTATATGCTTAGTGTATGAATTAAACAAGATTGATAATTGGTATTTATTAATGTTGATTGATATTGGTTATTGATTGGTTATTGATGATAATTCATAATAAAAAGTATTGGAATATGATAATAGGATTGTAAGTTATTTAGTCGTTAATTGAAATAGTATTTATTTAGTTACAATATTAATTGTTTCACGGCCTATAACGAAGAACTAAATTTGTGAAGTTGTAGTGATCGATAAATTGTTTGACGGCCTACAGTGATGACTGAATATTGTGAAGTTGTAGTGATCGAGAAAGGGCTGACGAGCCATTGTCAAACCCTGTTGAGGGCTGTGGCACCGTGATTAAATGTCGAGTCCTGTGATTGGGCGGAGGCATTAATCGTCAAACCTATTTATGGGCTGTGGCATAGATTGAGTACCAAGCAGTTGCGACCCTTGGGAATGTGAAGTAGATTATTTAGGTTGATTGTATTGAATATTTGTGATTGTATTTATATAAAAATATTATGACCATATATACTATATAATAATATTAGTTATTCTAGGTTGATTGTTGCTTGAGTTTGGTGCTTATATTATGTATATACATTATTGTTATTTCAAATAATATGTCAAAGAATCTTGTGTGTTCCAAGAGCACACCCTCACTGAGTATTTTTCCCCGAATACTCACCCCTCTCTTCTTTTTCAGGTGAGACCAAAGAATAGTACTTGTGGCGGTCGTTGTGTTATTATGACCAGGAGTTATGGGCGTATTTCTTTTTAATAATAATTTTAATTCTATTTTCTTTAGTTTCTTCAAATATTTAATATTCAGTTTATTGTAAAGATTTTTCGAATTTATGATTTATTTATTTTAAATAAAAAATTCTAGATACTAAATGAATATTCAATAAATTCATTATTTTTTTAAGTTGTTAAATTAGTGTAAATTAAGTTAGGTTATATTTGCGAGATTAGGGTATCTCAGCTAGCATAGCTACGGGTTTGAATCTAAGCATTCTTAACCAAAGGGTGGACCTTTAGGTGTTCAATGAAGAAGTTCGAAAGTTTAAAAGTATGATAAAAGCATATCCTAAAAGAGATAAACAAATAATCAATTTACAAAATAAGTATTAAGGTAAGAAGTTAAGCGTGATTGATATTGTATCACTGACCGTTGATTATATCTCTTTTACAATATGCTTTTATCATACCTTTAAACTTCTGAACTTCTTCACTGAACACCTTAACGTCCACCATTTGGTTAAGAATGCTTAGATTCAAACGAAAGGCTATGCCAGTCAACCTGGGGGGTGGGGGTGGTAAAAGCATATCATATCAACGGTCAATGATACAATATCAATTACACTTAACTCCTTACCTTATTACCTATTTTGTAAATTGATTATTTGTTTATCTCTTTTATGATATGCTTTTATCATACCTTTAAACTTTTGAACTTCTAAATTTTATGTTTTTTTAGTAGCTTCAAACTTTTATAAGTAACTTCAGGCCACAGCCTGCGCAAATCCATAAATCTTAGCACTGTAAATCCATAAATCCATAAATTATAGAGATTCCCTCTCCTCTCAAGTTGGACCAACTTGTCTCAGAATGATTTATATGCTTGCCAGCCCAAGAGTTTAGCAAAGATGTCAGCCAATTGTTGCCAGGAAGAAACGTGATAATTAGTCATTGTACCTTTTTGGAATTCATCTCACACGGCATGACAATCTCAATATGTTTCATAATCTCGTGAATGATATGATATAATCTCGTACATTTCTATAATTTACAGTGTTAAGATTTATGGATTTGCGCAGGTTGCGGTCTGAAGTTACTTATAAAAGTTTGAAAATACTAAAAAAACATATATTTTAGAAATATAATATCTACCTCGAACTGTTGCCTTTAAAGTCGACCAAAAGTAGCTGACATCCATTTGTTTTAAAACTTGATACCTTAATTGTTTAATAGATATTTGGCGCCTAAAGCATCAGTTTCATGAGCTATAATTAGTCCAATGCAGGTACGAGAAATAATTGCGTTCTGCGTAATATGAGAGATATTTCATCTTTCTTCTTCCTTTGGGAAATTACCGAACATGTACGCATCTCGTATGTAGATATGCATAGTTTGCATATGCATTCTATGTATGCCAGGGAGAGGAAAAAAATAGAAGAAGATTTCCTAAATAAAACTGGAGAAAAGTTCTTTAATTTAGAGTTGAATTATCCAGTTTTTTCAGAGTGTATAAAAATAGCCAAATTGAAAATAACCTTCCATCTTTTTTTAAATAACTGGGTTTTCTAATGGGTGTAAAGCATGATTGATTGGCCGAAAGAGAGTGATTAAATAATTCCACGCTGGTTTGATCTAAACCAAGAGAACAACTTCTCAACAACTAGGAACCACTAGCCCATCGCCCCTTAGTTATAAAATTTTTCTTAGTTGCACGTACCAAATATAATGCTCAAAAAAGCCTAAACTGATCTAGCTAGTCTTCTGAACGTATTAGTTTTTTGAATGAAAGAATCAGGAGCACAACATAAATTAAAAACAAAAATTCAAGAACCATCAAATCTAACAAGCTACAATACTCTCTTGTTCTCTCTACTTGTACCCACCAAACCGAAAAAGAAGAAACCACGTTTCCTCCTATCCTTCTTTCTTTTCTCATCATCCACTTTATAAGCCACAGATCGGCTTTTCGTCATCCACGAAATCCCTTTTTCTCTGCTGCTACCTCCGGCTGTTAACAAGTAGAATCGCCGATCAATAAGTGGCGACGGGCAAGAAGAGACGGAGGAAGAACAGTAAGAGGAGAGAGAAGAAGTAGTTGAGGAAGAGCATGTGATTTGACGTGCTTTTCGTCGACGTGAAGAAGAATAAGAAGAAGAAGTTGATTTGATGAAGATAGAGAGCTTCTCGTTGAGACAGAGAGAACAAACACCAGGCGATTGCTTATGCTTTGGGTGCTTCTTACAAAACGCTACGTTTTTCATCTTCTCTTGCGCCTTGGACGCTCGTCTTATTCCAAGCAAGCTCGTGGTCAAGCTAGCCATTCCTTCATCTACTTGGGTAGGTAGATGAAATATTAAGTGTTTATATAAAATTTTAATTAGAGAAAGTGATTGTATGTTTCCTTGGAGGTTTCTGGGGATTTTCCGGGAAAGTTTGAAGATGAGCCTTTTTTGTAGTTTTTTGTTGACAGGTCGTGTGGGTCGAGGAAAAGGAGAATGAACGGTTGAGTTGAGTGAAAGAGATTGATTAACGGCTGAGATTAGTTGGTACAGGTCAGTTGAAATGACTAGAAAATTCCAAGTCTGGTAGGCGCGCGCAGAAAGTCCGAAACATTGTAATTCATATACACACTTAATCTACATATATTAAAAGAAATAATTAATTACTTTAAATTCTTCTGATTTGTACCTACATAAGCTATAATATTTTATTCTGGCGTGCAAAAATTATACAAAATACATTCAAAAAAATGAAAATATTACCTGCTTTGTACGTACATAAGCTATAATATTTTATTCTGGCGTTCAAAAATTATACAAAATACATTAAAAAAATGAAAATATTATATGTTTTCTTTTGGTTAAAGGTATAATCATAGCGACATGTTCTATCGACCCAAAGAACAAATAAGTATTTGATACAATTGCATAGGAGAACAATTCATTTTTTACTTTGGCTTTATCTAAGTTGTTTGCTATCACAACCGCTTTGAATATATCAAAGTTTGCGAAAGTGTTATTTTATGCAATCTCGTAACAAAGGCATATATATTTACAAGGGTACAAGACGCAAATTTAGGTTTGATTTAATCCTAAACAATGTTAGTCTAATCTAGTCCATGAACAAGTTAGTCTAACTAGACCAGCTTGCACGACATCACAGACAAAATGACTATCAATTTTCATGCAGTCTGTTCATTGATTCACCACGAGGTTTGTTGTAAGGTCAATGGAGGGTTGATATCATGTTCCTTGTGGCAAAAAAAATGGAGTTAATTGAGCCATTTTGTTTCGTTTTTAGCATTGGCTATGAAGCAATACTCAACTTCCGTAGAAAAATAAGATCTTCTGCTTTCCTTTTTGTTTTCCACGAGAGATAAAATCACCAAAACTAAACGTATAACCAATCAACAATCGAAGTGTAAGAGGACAAGCAACTCAACGAGTCATAATAGCCAGAAAAGACATACCACCAGAAGAGCTAAGCATAATTACTTGTCTGGGTGTTCCCTTCAAGTATTGTACCACTTGCATCGCAACATCCGACTAAAATTTGATAGGCGTTGCATGTATTGAGAAATAACATAGATAATATAAGATAACCAGGTCGAATAATAGTGAAATACAAATGAGACAGCCAATGATATGGAAAAACTGTTCCAGATCAGAATATAAAGCTTCCAAATAATAAGCAAAAGATGCTCGTATTATAGATAATTAGATAGCCAACCGATCACTGAGAAGTCTACATTCATTAGCAATATCCAAGCAGTATATCTGTTGAAAAACGCACGTAGTAGAGAAAGTTGAGATAAACTTGATTCTACATTAGATAAAGTTGTCTATGCTCTTGATGAAGTAGAAGAGAAAGTTGAGAAACTAATTAGGGATCATGAGGAGAATGATTTAACTGCTGAAGTCCCTAATATGGAGACAAAACATATGTTTGATGACCTTGGATACAAGAGAACAACACTGGAGAAGAAGAGAACTCATAGAGCTTAACAACTTTGTGAAGTCAGTTCCTCTCTACAAAGGTTTTGATGATGTTTCACTCAAGAAAACAATCATTTTCCACCGGTTTGTTATGATGGTTTAAAAATCATCGCAAATAACCAACGGTTTTACGACGACTTTATGACGAAAAACCAACACGTCGTAAAACCATCGTAAAAAAAATTCGTCATAAATTCGACGTATAATTTATGACGGTTTACGACGATTATACATCGATAAAGAGAGATTTGATTTTTCATGCAAATTTGTCATAAAATCGACGTAACTTTACGACAAATTTACGACGACAATTACGACGATTTACGTCGAACGAAAAGGCAGTTGAAGAACATTTTAAACATGTTCACCTACCTAATGTCGTTGAAATATTTTATCGCACAATCGATGTAAAATCGTCGTAATTTTGAGGTTTGGATGTAAAAACGATGTAAAAAACCGTCGTAATATCCGAAATTTTGTTATAAATACATCTTCATTTCTTCTTTCATTCACAACATCATCATTCAAACATAAAAGCATCTGCATTCCAGAGACCCATGTGGGTCTCTTAAACCTTATTATAGTGTTTTTATTTTAGTTTAGAGACTGTGTTCAAAAACCTGATATATTGGGTTGTCCATTGCTGGAAATCCGAATGAGTTTCTTAAAAAAAAAGAAATAATAATATAAAAAGGTTTGTCCATTCACGCGACTACACGTGGCACAAGAGACCGTCTCTTATATTGTCTAAAATAGAGAGAGACAGAGTTTTTTGAGTTTTTTTTAGATGTCTATATACAAGCTAAGAAGATGGATGTATATACGTAAAGATTCAAAGGGGCGTTGACAGAAGAATTTAAGAACGGATTAAAAATATTCATGTATCAGGCTACAAATATGGAGAGAACCAAAGAAAGCGGGAATATGTTTTGTCCTTGTTTGAAATGCAAGAATACAAGGTATACACTAACCAAAACCATGTGGACGCATTTATTAAATAGAGGGTTTATGCCGTAATATTTTGTTTGGTATCTACATGGAGAAGGATATGACAGTAATACTCGTGGGAATGCTGGTAGTACTAGTAATTATCAAAGTCATGTTGATTTTAATGAATCAAATTATGGTAAGTCTAATCAGTATCAATCTGATCAAGGTCTAGATCATGATAGGATGCATGAGATGGTGACTGATGCATTTCATGAAACGCATACTGGTAATGCTGTCGACAAACCCAATGTAGATGCCAAACGATTTTATGATTTGTTATGGTATGTCTAAATTATCGTTGGTAGCTAGGATGATGTCAATTAAAACATATCATAATCTGGCTGAGGTTTGCATGGATGATTGGGCTGATCTTCTGAAAGAGTATCTAGCGGAGGATACCTTGGTAGCAGCAACATACTATGAAATACAAAAGTTAATTTTTAGTCTTGGTCTACCTTCTGAGATGATAGATGTATGTGTTGATAATTGTATGATTTTCTGGAAAGATGATGATCAGTTGCAGGAATGTCGATTTTGCCAAAAACCAAGACACAGGCCGCAAACTGGTGGACGTAAAAGGATACCGTACCAACGTATGTGGTATCTCCCTATAATTGATAGGTTGAAACGGCTTTATCAATCTGAAAGGACAGCTGCATCGATGAGATGGCATGCAGAACATACACAAGTAGATGGAGAAGGTGCTCATCCATCAGATGCAAAAGCATGGAAACACTTCAATACGGTATACCCAGATTTTGCTAAGTTCAAACGGAATGTCTATCTTAGTCTGTGCACTGATGGTTTTTGTCCATTTGGTATGTCTGGTAGACAATATTCATTATGGCCAGTAATCCTGACCCCTTATAACCTTTCTCCAGATATGTGCATGCAAAGGAAATTTCTTTTCCTTAATATTTTGGTTTCAGGTCCCAATCATCCGAAGCTAGCTCTCGATGTATCTCTACAGTCACTCATACATGAGTTGAATCAGTTATGGTATGATATACCGGCGTTCGAACATATGACTGTTCAACGGGGAAAAAAATTATTATGCGAGCTGTGCTATGTGGACAATAAGCGATTTCCCCGCTTATGATATGCTATCATGATAGACTACACATGGGAGGTTATCTTTTCCTTATTGTCTTGATCGAACTGATGCGTTTCAGCTAAAACATGGTAGAAAAACCTGTTGGTTTGATTGTCACCGGAGGTTTTTACCGGATAACCATCCATATCGGAGGAACAAGAGGTTATTTAGGAAGAACAAAAGTGTACGTGTCTCTCCACCCGTATATTGAAGCGCAAATCGAGCATTGGGGGGCAGAGGAAACAATAACGCGTGGGGGAAACTAGCACACTCTTGCAAATATGCGTGAAGGTTATGGAGTTCATCATAATTGGCACAAAAAAGTATTTATTGGCAACTACCGTATTGGAAAGATCATCTGCTTATACACAATCTTGATGTCATGCACATTGAGAAAAACTTTTTTGATAACATCATGCATACAGTTATGAACGTGATGGGATGAACAAAAGACAATGGTAAGTCAAGATTGGACTTATGCAATAGAAGTGAGTTGCATATACTGAGAAACAGGAAAACATCAGTTCCTGTATTTTGGTTGAGTGCAGATCAGAAGTTAGCATTGTTCAAATGGGTTTCATCTGACGTTATGTTTCCTAATGGGTATGTTTCTAATCTTTCTAAATCTGTTGAGAATGGGGTAAAGTTTGCAGGGATGAAAAGGCATGACTGTCACGTGTTTATGCAACGATTATTTCTGTTTGCATTTGCTGAACTCTTGCCCAAAAATGTCCAGAAACTGTTGGAGATAAAATAATTACTAATTAACTACACTCTATTCCTATTATAGTTTTGTACATTTTAAAATTTTATCTAATATTATGTATCTATACATATGCTAGCATTGATACTTTTTTTTAGGATCTTAGTACACGAACATTATCAGCTGATGTATAGCACAACTGACATCGAATATTCCAATCATGTTGTGCAATTTGGAAAATATCTTCCCGCCATCATTTTTTGATGTTATGGAACACCTTCCTGTTCCTCTCCCTCATGAAGCAGAGCTCGGTGGACCGGTTCAATACATGTGAATATATCCGTTCGAGCGTTTTATGAAGCATCTTAAAGGTAGAGCCAAATTAACCTAGCTAAAGTGGAAGATTCAATTGTGGCGGGAAGCTTAACGGAAGAGACTTCGCACTTCACTTCGTACTATTTTGCACCAAAAGTACGAATACGCAAAAAAGCTACTCGTCGATATGATGATGGAGGAGTTGACCAAACATATGCAGTTGAGGGTGTACCTGAC